TCAGATTTTGCTCCTTTCAAAAGAGGTCTTGAAAGTTATTGATGACTTTGTTATTTACTGCTAGATTTCTACAAGAGCTGGGATTTCCGTCTTCAGAAAAAATTGACTTTTCACTGAAAAAAACATAGTTATCAGTTTTCATGTTCTTGGGGGTGTAAAAAACACACATTTTTCCACAGAAAAAGACTGTTCATGCAAAATATCAGGTGTTTTTTTTTATTTTGTTTTGTTTTGTATTAGGAGGTCTCAATACAATGATTATCCAGAATGTCAGCATCCTTTGAATACTGTTTGACAACTTCTTTTGTATTCATCCCAAGATAAAATGTTCATCTTTCAGCCATCTCACTGCTGAATCAAGTATAGCAAGGTATTGTAGCCCACTCTCCAATCTTATGATTGTTCAGACCTCCACCATGCATTTAATCATCTGTAGTGCTGCCTCTCAGTGCCACTGAAGAGTGAGCTAAGCCAAATTATTGCACTAGACAGCCACTCTGGCTGTTCCACTCTGTAGCATGGGACTATGCTGAACAGGCTGCTAACCAATGTAAGTTAGGGGTTCTGCAATTCAGCAGCATACCTGTCTCTAGCCCTTGACCCAGATAAGCCATTGTTCATCATCCCAGATTGGCATCAGGATGGCAGCACTGGACATGAGTGCATGAATGGTTATCATGAAAAGATATTGCAAAGTCAGTCATAACAAGTCCGCAAATGTGAATGTTTTCTTCTGGAGCCAGGCAGGTCTTCTTATGGGAAGTGTGCCTTGTTTATTACACCCACTATCAGCCTGATGTACAGCAGGTTTTCATCCATCCTAGCCCCTCCTGCTGTTTTAAGAATAATGGCATCTCATCAACGTTTTGAGGAAGCTATATGAGCCAGCACATAATAATTAGATGTTAATATGTGGCTAAAGCAGCCACTAAAAATACGAATAGCTTTGTTCAACTCCAAATCAATGAAATGTGTATGCAGACTCCTGCTCCACCATTACTACCACCCCAGACTGCTTCACAGACTTAGGTTTATCAAACATTTGCCTCTATTCCTCAACTTTTCTCCTGCTAGCTTCTGGATTAAGGTAGTGTGGCAAGAGATCTTTAGGGGACATTTCTTCTGCCTTCAAATGGCATCTTCCATGAGCAGCATGAAGTAGACCAAACAGATAAAATATTGTATACAGGTTCACATTCTAAGGCTACTGTTTTGACCAACATGTACAGCTTTATGGAACATGTTATTTTAAAACACAAGCTGATGTAAACGAGTAGTCAACCAGTCAACTACCCAATAAGCAGGAGCACTGAAACTGCCCTTCCTTATTGATTAATGGAGTAGTCAATGGAAATTCCATCAATTTCAAAAGAATCATCCTTTTTCTAAATATCCAGTGTCCCAAATGAAACACAAGCTAACCTGAATCTTCAATGTACTTATCACAAAAATGTCTTATCAGTGTTGTCTAGAATAACAATTGTAAAATATACAAGTTATGAACAAATAAATGTATCAGCAAACACAATTTTTTCAATACACTGAAGTTCCTTTATAATAACCACTATATAGAGTCCAAAACTTGGCCTTTATAACACTGGCCACATACTACAGTAAAACGAAATACATCCTTCATATTAGTACTGTCAAATCACTTGCACTTACACATTCCTGATAGTTTTTTATAATTAAAATGGGAAAATAACTCCTAACTTGTTGGATTCCTAATCTTGGCAAGTAGCAGTGCTAACTGCAGGTTGCTTAGAAAATCCTTTTCCTGTACTAAAATGTGGTCTAGAGACTTAAGCACTGTCTTTTTCCATGTCATAGTTCATGCAAGGTTTTTCATGTTGATAAGAGTTCTTTCTGAAACAGCTTTGGTATGGTTTGGCAGCATCAGCAAAGTGACATTTCAAGAGATCAGAAAGAGCAAATGAATAATTGCTCAAATTAGAACACTTCTGAATAATACTTTGCTTTCAACAAATAATCTTTAATATATTTTAAAGAATTTTTCAATAAAAAGTATGTAGTAGCTATGAAACTACTCCATGCCTTTTTGCATCATGGAACAATAGAAGAGGGATGGACTTCAGAGAACTTGTGACAGTAATTTTCAGTCTCAGTTTGAGGTATTCAAAGGTTGTAACTTAAAAGCACTACTACTATAGTAACATCAGCTGGTGCAGTAAGTTTGTACCACTTCATCTGCTCTGCTTACGTAGTAACTTGTGATAGAATTATGAACCATATACAAGTTTCAGATTTATGTGCTTGCAAAAACATATTTTAAAATGTTGCTTCTTTCTTTAATATTAGCATAAATATTTCAAATAACTAAGATATTGGACTTAGAAAACTGGCTTCTGCTGAGTCACATAAATATTTTTCATAAAAGATTTCACTCTGTACCTTACAGGCTAAATACATATGCACTCAACTGAATGCAATTGCTTTTAAAGCACCAGTTAATTCTGTTGAGTGGCTTAATCCCATTTCGTCTTAGTATGCATTTTCATGACTTATAATAGCACAAAAACAATGAGGAGTTATAAATTACATAATAAACATGTTTAAAATTGTTTATGTAACTCTGTGATAAACCTGACAGGAATAGCATGCCAATGTCTGCATATCTTCCAGATTTCATTTCTATTTCTTTATATAACATGAAAAAAAAACAAAGAGAATTAAATGCAAATGGAACTATGACATCTCACATCAGTTGACGATTGGTCCCAAAAAGCTTAAGGTACTAAAACATTAAAAAACTAACTCAGACCCCAGTTTTGTGAACATGAACTCTCATTAAACATGATGCCTAAAATCAATAAATACAAAAAATATGAGATGAATAAAGATCAGCTGTATTGTGCTTATATACCGCAGTATATAAGGTACTGTCTGTCAATGCTCAATGTAAAAATTTTGGAAATACCCAGAAATGAGCAATGAAATAAGAAGTTGTGCATTTCCTGGCTTTTATCTGTAACGTAGATTCTTAACATAATTTTAACATATGGGGGGGTGAATGGGGTTGCACCTAATTGCTTTACCACTATTAACCTTCCCTCCTTCAACACCTGATCACAGGAAGAATATGCCTCTCCTTTTACTCAAAGACCAAACAGCACAGAACTGGTATATGGAGCACAAGAATAAGTGCAGTAGCTACACTGCACATTCTACCAAACCTTTGAAAGCTCATATGTGCTTCATGCAGTTAAAGCTCCTTTGGTTGGGACTGGAGTATGAGTCCTTTTTGGGAGCTGGAATATTTTTGATTAGATGTCTGGAGGAGTGCTTCTGTAAAGGACTGTACTTTCCTCTCTCAGTGTTGCAGGTAAACAGCACAGGCATGTGTACAAGTGGTATAACTGGAGGCCAGGCTTCATTGTACATCATAAGTAGTTTCATCACAAGTTGGATCTTTTGCTCTCTCTTGATACCTAGTATCCACAGAAGTACACCAAGCCTCCAGAACTACCCCAAAGAGCAATATTTATGAGAAATGTGATTATTTGTCTGTGTACTTAGATCTCCCCACCCCAGATTTACTATAAGATCATATGATATGGCTTCAAAACAGTTGTACAATATGATCAAAGAATATCTTATTTCCTAGGTCAAAGATGGCCAAACTGTCAACTCTACATATTTGTAGAAAGACATATGAAATAAAAAAATAGTCATAAATCTAAACATACTTAAAACACATCAAGAAGCAAATCCATAATACTTTTGCAGTAGCATGCACATTGCAGATAGACAACATAGAAAGAAATTTTCCATTGTAGCCTGCTATTCTGAATTATGCTATTTTTTCAAAAACATCTTGAATTTGATTACATATACATAGAGACCTGCCTAGCAAAAAGAGCAAGTTAATCTGTGCAGGAGAAAGCTTTTTCAGGGGCTTGTTCGTCACTGTGGAACAAGCACACGTAGGATCTAAGAGCCGCCTGAGTCCTTGTCACATTCCATACCAAGTTTGAAGTGCACTTTTATTACATTGATTCTAGAATACGAGCACACAGCATGGCTGCTACAAAATAAATGAATACATAATATTTAAAAACTGAATTAAAAATAAAATAGACTAGAGTAAAACAACCCTCCCATAATTATCCCTTTGGAGAGAGAAAAAGGGAGAATGAGGAGAGAAAGATATGTGACAAATGCCAGTTGCTCACTGCTTACTACATTTCTGGAAAGTATTCAGACATTATGATGGTGAGATGGTATGAAAACTTACATAGAATATTTTCTTTTTGGACTTTACAGCCTTAGTAAACATCTTGTAAGTCATAGGGTAAATTTTGCTACGTTTATATTCTCTGTCAAGTACACTGAAACACTGAGTAGGTCATAATCTGAGAACTGAATGAAAATGTGTTTTTAAAAAAGAGACAGAGATATGAAATGTCAGCCATCACCAAATAAATGCAATAATTTAACTTTAGTTTAGATGAAAATGCCATTTTGCCTATGTAAAGGCCATGATGCAGTCTAATTGAGCAATTCTCAAACTTCAGCAAACCAAGGATTCCAATTTTGATTTAAAAAATTTTTGTAGACCCCCAAGCCAGCTTCTAATTGACCTGGGAGCGCTCAACCTCCACTCAGCCACTAGTCACAACCCCATTCCACTCCTTTCCCCAAGGCCCAACACCTGCCCCATCCCTTGCCCCAAGTATACCCTATCTCACCCTGCACTTCTAACACACTGCTGAACAGTTGTTCCAGAGTGTGAAGGAAGCCCTGAAAGGAAGGAGGAGTTGATCAGTGGAACTACAGGCCATGGACATGACTCACAGATCCCTGGAATACCCTCACAGACCCCCAAGATCTGTGGATCCCAATTTGAGAACCGCTGGTGTAATTCAATAATACAGCAAGAATATTTCTGATTTACAAGAAACAATGTCCTCTCTTATTTGATCATAAATAATCTCATTCACTCACATAGCAAAACAGTGATAAAATATAATAAAACGTACGTAAATTATTTGCAGGTGGCCTTGTCTCCATGTTTTCATAATGTTGTACGTGAACAACAATGTTTAGGTCTCTTTCCATGTGATCTGTTGTGCAAGGACCTTGAGGTCGCATAACATCAGCAAGAGCCCTAAAGAATAAAAATTAAACTCGATTAGAATAAATCTTCTGCAAAAACTATAATGCAGTTGCAATGTACTCTGGTCCTTTTCGTTCTTGACACTGCACATTACAACATATGTACTGCAGAGTCACAGTTTAATAGGACTCCAATCCTATTCCCATTGATGTCAATTAGAGTTTTGTCACTGACTTCAATAGAAACAGGACTGGTACTAGGTATATGCCATATAAGTAGCTGATTAACTACTGTGCCATAGAAAATAATTAGTCCCCTGCAAAAACCATGCCCTTAAGCAAAGAGTTCAGTGTAAGTTCTTTCTATTCAGTTCTGAACTTCACTGATCATTATTTGCCTCCTTTTGTCACCAGTCATTTAAGTCATTTTTAAAGAGAGTGGATGTTTTTACTAGGCATTGTGCCTAGTATAGTTTAATTTTGTGTAAAATTGTATACTGTATCCTAGCTACAGCATCTGGTTTATATATTAATAAATAAATACATTCACTAATGAAAGTCAAGGTGAACGCAGTACAGCTCTTCCACTGAACCAGTATGACAGAGACTTATTTTCCTAGTTGCTATATTGAAATATTGAACAGTAGCGCCACATAAATGTGTGGGCTAAATATAAAGAAATCTTGAGATGGATATTGCTCATAAAATTCACATACAGTACTTCGGTGTACAAAAGATACTCAATAATATGTTCCCTCATGTTTGTGGATTTGTTTGTGCTATTAGAAAGTTATGTACAAATTCTTAATTGTGTTACAATCTGCTGATACTGTAAAGAAGGTAACCAAAATTACTTAAGATACTGAAACAATACTTCAATATGAAGCAATATTTATACAGCAGGAGCAGCAGAGCTGGCTTACATAGCTTAGAAAAAGGCCACTAGCAGCCATCTCACAGAAGTATGTGCAATATGATCCTGAAAGGAAGGGATTATATTAGAAATCACAGTTTGAAAACAAGTTATGGACTGAAGCTGGGAGAGCACTCACATCTAATTAATGTATACAGAACTTTTTATACAAAACATATTGTCTATGTCAGCACTATAGATTTAATACAAGACGCAACTGGACACATAAGATAACATAAGAATGGCCATACTGGGTCAAACCAAAGGTCCATCTAGCCCTGAATCCTGTCTTCCGATGTCGCCAATGCCAGATGCCCCAGAGGGAATTAACAGAACAGGTATCATCAAGTGGTCCATTCTGTTATCCATTACCAGCTTCTGCCAAACAGAAGCTAAGGACACCTTTCCTGTGCATCCTGGCTAACAACCATCAATGGATCTGTCCTCCATGAATTTATCTAATTATTTTTTGAACCCTGTAAAAGGCCTCATCTTCACAGCATCCCTAGAGAAAGGAGTTCCACAGATTGATTATGCGTTGTGTGAAGAAATACTTCTTGTGTTTAAAACACACGAGAAATACTTAGGTGAACCCTAAAGTTCTTGTGTTATAGGAACAAGTAAATAACTTTTCCTTATTTACTTTCTCCCCGCCCGTCACGATAATATAGTCCTCTATCATATCCCCCCTTAGTCTCCTCTTTTCTAACTGTAAGGTCCAAGCTTTATTTATTTCTCCTCATATGGCAGCAGTTCCATACTCCTAATCATTTTTGTTGCTCTTTTCTGAACTTTTTCCAATGCCAAGGTATCTTTTTGAGATGTGGTGGCCACATCAGCACATAGTATTCAAGATGTAGGCATACCATGGATTTGTGTAGAGGCAATAAGATATTCTCTGTCTTAATGATTCCTAACATTGTTTGTTTTTTTGACTGCTGCTGCACATTGAATGGATGTTTTCAGAAACCTATCCACAACTCCAAGATCTCTCTTAAGTGGAAAGAGCTGAATTAGTCCCCGTCATTTTATACATATAGTTGGGATTATGTTTTTCAATATGCATTACTTTGTATTTATCAACATTTTGGGGAAATGAAGAAATGCAAAGGAGAGGTCTCACCTTGATTCTGAGAGTTAAAATGGTATAACCTCATAATGCGTAGATTTCTCACGTCTGATAGATCAGTCTTTCAGAGGTGGCCTTTCCATTGCCTTTAATATTACTGAAATGAGTATTCATTATATACTCTAAATAACATTCCACGTGCTATCAGATTTTTACCTTTCACGTCTGTATTCTATCTCCATTGAGCTTTAAAATATAGAATGGGGTCATCTTACAAATATCTTTAGAAGGTTTTATTACAGTTCTCAGTACGGAATGAAATAAATAATTCTGGCACTATACATATGCCTCACATTTAATTTATTTAAGAAAATGTATACTAAGAATGAGATAATCTTCAAATCAGACACACACACTGTCTGTTTCTCCACACTGATAATGATGGAAATCATACATCTATGGAGCAATGTCTTCAACCAATCAGATCAGCCAAAAGCTATTAAAGAGTGTCACAAATCTTCAAGATATCTCTTATTGTAAGATTTTGCTCTGTGGATCTGTAATGTTGTTTTAAGACCTTATAAAGCATATCTAGCCAGGCAATTCCCTTATGGCTATAAGCTTGAAGAGGCTCACGCAGATGTGATTTCATGAAAGGTTAGTTGTCATTTTTTTTTGCTTCCAAAAGTGGGTCAAAACCAATCTGGGAAATAATTTCACACAAAGGATTTCAGCATTTTGGCTATCCAGACTATTTTTGGCCCCAAGCATACTCCTTTTGGAAAATCAGCACATTCTTAAGGGTGGGAGAATTCAGGTGGGTTCATAAGAAATTCAGGAGGCTGCTTTCAAACTATCACTAACATATAAGTTATGAAAACAGGAGCTATCAAAGTACAGACTTTAGCCTTTAGGCCCTTTGCTGTTCTTGATGTATGTAGGTATCTCCCATGTGAAATGGGGCAGTATATGATTCTGCATTTTTATTTATTGAAAAATCCCTTGTGTGAAGGAGAGGTAAAGTCTATTTAGAAACCACAAGGATCACTTTTGGGGGTTCTTTTCCTATTCATTCTTTAAGGAAGATATTTATCTGGCAGAAAAGGATTTAGCTTTGCAACCTAAAAATCCTGTTGACCCTCATGCTCTAATGAACATACACTGCAACCTCGGACAACAACCTGGGAAAAGGACTCCTCTCCACAGCTACCCAATTTCTCCATTTCACCTGGGAACACTGCTACCTCAGAAGGGGTGCAATCATAAGCCTTCTGCCCACCACCATATGTACCTTCATGTTAACTACCTTCATAGGAGCTAACTATCTTCATAGGAGCTAGAAGATTCAGAGGGAGAATTAATGCTCCTCTTGGACACTATATTTCTTTCTTGGGCACTAGTTCTCCTTCTTTGCCTATGGATAAAAAACACTTAAATTCTCTCAACTTTGAACAAACTTACCAAAAGAAAACAAAGAGGTAGGAATACACAATACTTTAGAATCCTATAGGAAGCATATACTGTTACAGCCATCCTTCTCTTCACACACACACACCATCTTCCACCTTCACTCAACAACATAATCTACACAGACAGTAATACAGTATATTAAAATGTTACAAGGGTCACATTTGGCTTTGTTTGTCTAAACTACAGGAACTAGTTAGCATCCCTAAAAAGGGTATGAATTACTTTTTCTGAATAAATCTGCTTACTCTGTCAATTTTTTTTCTGCATTTTAACTGACAAATAATTTAAAAATCTTCAAAATGGCCATTTTATTTCAAAACAAACATCTTCATATAACAGCAAGCAGAGTGCAGCGTATGGTAAAAGAAATCATGCCTGATAATTCTAATGGCCAGATTGTATCACCCGTGTTCACATAAGTACCTTACTTTGCCAGAGTAGATCCATGGAGTGTCTGCATAAAAAGTACTACTCAAGATCAGTAAGAGTGGCATGGTCTGCCCCTAAATTAGACAATATTCTTATTTCCTACAGCATATACAAAATTTCAGAATAAAAACATTTTTCAGCAATGTAATGTGATGAAAAATAAGGGTTTGCATGTTTTGGTCATTAGTAATAAAACAGGCATTTTAAAAGCACACCAGTATGTTGTATTCCTGAATGTCATACATTCTTTACCTGAATGTACTTGTAAAGATAAAGGGATCTGAGTGTTTCAGATATCCATTAGCTAGTAAGGAAACTAAAGCAATAGTGTCCCTCCTTGTTAGCCATATTCTCAACCTGGCCTGGGAGACGAGATACTGTCAAATGAGGGAATAAAAAGGCAAATCAGCTTTTGCTTGTTTCACGTTACCGGCCAAACTGGATTAAAATAAAGCAATGGAAACTGAGCAAGTTACTTCTATGAAAAATAATGGGGCAAAATCTTTAACCAGGATTTCTAACATTAAATCCATCATTTCAGCATGGCCTAACTCATTCACTCATGACCAGGGCTTTATAATTTACATGTTTTAAAAAATGAAATTGAATGTAGGCAGAGGAGAGGAAGTTATGTTCATGTTTTGTAGACTTCGTGGTGGTTAGTGTTATATAAGAAGACAGATATCCAGATAGGATACAGAGTGTCTTATTACTGATACTATTAAATGTTTTCAGCAAGTACTTATAATTACATTACAAAACTTTGTGCAGCGCTCTACCACCCTTCTTACTCCTCCAAAACACTGACATAAGCCAAGACGTAATGCTTTGGTTTAAATGGGTTGAGGACAATGAGATTGTTATTAATTTTAAAGTGAACTGGAATTCTAGTTCCCTTAGGCAGCCTCTAAAAATCTCAGCTACTGTGTGAAAAATGAAATTAAGTATCCAAATTCCCTAGATGGTTTTGAAAATTTCACCCTGTATGTTTGTGATGAGAACTTTTAAAAGAGTTGTAGCGATTTCCCAACAGCTGCAGAATATTCATTGTGGGCACTGAGTGGGAGTCTGTTTTTCCATTAGCATCCTGACTCTTGTAGGTTCCTATAACCTCTGAAACAATCCTACCTTAAGAGATCTATGAATAAAAAAGCACATGAGTTTGACTAGTCACTAATCTGGGCAACAACTGTCCTTTCTGAGCCCCATTTCAATCTAATCTATATAGATATATGTCTGAAAGGACTTGGAATGATATTCCATCCCCGATTATTCTGTATCAATAGGTTTTGGAATAGAAATATAATTTAAAAACTCTTTATACCTGTATCTGATAGAGAGCAAGTATATATATAAATCCATTTAGAGGGCTTTTTTTAAACCAAATACTGGAAATGTGGCTTTCTGATCTAATCAAAGCTGAACAGAGATGTATGCACTGTTTTCACCTTCTCTCTGTCATGTGTTTGGTTTGGTTTTTGTTGTTGTTGTTTTTTAAAGAAAGTGCCTAAACTCACCAGCTGTTTTACCTGCATGTAGATGCTACAGAACTGGAACAAGCTATTTTACCACAGCTTTGATTAAAAGACCCATGGTATGGTGATATATTTTTTCAGGATTCATATATTCTTTTCTCAATTTAGTGGGTCGAGATTCTCTAAATGTTTCTCTATTCATACCCTGCTTAACAAAGTCAATTTCTCTTAAAATTGCCAGGTAGTGTTGACTAAAAATTCTGTGGTCTGCTTTGCTCCTCAGTAGTAAAAAGAAATCCATATCAGACAGTATATAAATAGCAAATAATTGCTAGTGAACTGGTGATGCATTCACAGCACTATTTTTGGTGTCTTCTCTGTTCATTTCAGGGGAGGCTGTTAATCACAAAGCAATACAGAAACTTGGACAAGAAATAAGACTCCAGGTGTTGAGTGGATCTCTTGAACTCCTGAGCCAAGATTTAAAGCTCTGTGATTGTGAATTACTCCATTGCTAGTGACCACCAGGCAGACAGATAGAAAACCTTCTGCCATACTGAATGTCTGGTAGAAGGCGTCCTTACAATTGTATTTCATTTCCAAAGTTGACCACAATGCTGGAATCAATTTAGATTCTTTAATGGAGCTATTTGCCTTTTTTTAAAATCTGCAAAATGTCTTTCCCCATCTGTTTTACTTTCCTGTGTCTGGGATTAGCATAATGAATCAGACAGACTGAAAACTGGACAAATATGTTATCCCTTTTTTCTTAAGTACTGTGACACTTTTTTCTTAAGTGCTAGAGTATGAAACAATTGGGCTGTGTCCTGAACTGCCCACTTGCCTACCCACCAGCAACTGCCCACTACCTACCCTGGAGTAGGAGAGTACACAGCTTGCCTCACTCTAGGTAGGGAATGTTCTCTTTGATGTAATCCAGCCATTGCCCTGTGGACATACAGAGTGTAACACATAGCGACAAAGACTTTGTATGCTCCATATTTGGTTACATTTTGCCTCTGTAGCAACTGGGGGAAAAAAGGCTAGAAGATGCAGCAGCTGTGTTACATCAAAGGCTAGAATCCTTAGCAGTTGGGTATTCCACAATAGGTCCCTTTTGGTCTCTTCCTCTCTACCTCCCAACCTGATTTTCAGGACAAAGAGCTCTCACACTTTAAGGAGATGGGGGAGGGAAAGTCCTGTCAACACCATTTTGCAGTGGGAGAGGGAAGGATGGGATTTGTTTACATCCTCCTGTTGAGAAGTAAAAACCTTGGCAGGGGGGGCCCCGCAGCCCCTCTTGAGGCTAATTCAAATCCCCATTTGTTGTTGGGCTGTTCCGGTTATAGACAGGATCTCCCAGAACAGTTCTTGACGGGGCGGAGGGCAAGCACTGCAGGCTGAAAACTGATTCGCGGCTGGGCACCTCAGGAACGCTGTGCGGTGCTCCTGGGCGCCCGGCCCTTCGAGTCAGCAGCCGGGGCTGGGGTAGCCCTGGCGCCAAGCTCTCCAAAGTTGGTCTGTTATAGCCTGGCTGGCGAGAGCTGTCTGCTCAGCAGGGCCACCTGGGCTCGGTATCGTCCCTGGGTGGGGTGGGGGAGGGCGCTGAGCCTTACCTGGACATGTGCTCCCGCTGCGGTCTGTGCGCCTTCTCCAGCCCCAGCTTGGTGAAGATGCCCACCAGCACCATGACCGCCACCACCCCGCAGATGATGTAGACGATGAGGTTGGTTTTATCCCTGGTAGGGTCGTGCAGCGGGTCGTCTATGCGGGCAGGCGGCTTCCCCGTGTTCATCCACACCGGCGTCTCGTAGTTCGTGCAGGTGTTTTGGTCCAGCCGGGTCTTCTTGAACTTGCAGCAGAACCTGAAGCCACAAGTGCCGCAGCAGAAAATGAACTCCCCCGAGCTGCAGTTGAACGGCGGGTCCCACTGGCCCATCACGTCGAAGTAGCCCCGGCAGAAGTCCGGGGTGGCGGGGGGCTCTGAGGCGTCCCCGTGCTCCCCAAGGCTGGAGTGGTTCCCCCCGGAGAGCATCACTAAGCTGCCCAGGTGCTGGCCGGCTTTCTCCTGCGCCCGGCACACCAGCGTCAGCAGGTCCGCCACCAAGCAGCCGAGGGCCAGCCGGAGGAAGCCCTTCATCCTGCCTCCCAGCCCGGGCGCTGCTTGGCCGCCGCCGCTCCAGCTGCTGGCTGCTGCGCTGCGCCAGGAGCCCCACATGCAGGGCTCGGGCGGGGGCCACGCGCTCGCTCAGCCCGCTCGCGCCTGCGGCAGCCTGCTCGGCGCGGGCAGGGGCAGGGCCAGGAGCCGGGCGCCGAGCCTCCCCTCCCGCCGAGCCGCGAAGCTGCCGGAGCGCAGCGAAGTGAGCGGCACTTGTGGAGCAGCGAGCGGCGCGCCGCGGGGAGGGCGGGGGGGGAGGAAGGCGCGGAGGGGCTGGGGAGAGCGGGCGGGGAGAGGTGCGGGCGCCGCAGAGCCGGGGAGAAGCGGGCGCCGGCAGATGCTCCTCGCGCCGCCTGGTGAAATGGGCAGGCGCCGGGCAGCCCCCTTCCCGCGCGCCGCTGGAGCGCCTGGCGCGTCGGAGGCGAGAACTCGCGCCCTCACGGGGGGCGCCCAGGGAGCCGCGCCTCAGCCGCGGGGCATCCGGGCAGACGTGTCCCGCCGCGGGGCGCGCGGCTCCCTGCAGACTCCCTCTGGCGGGCGGGCGGGATGCAAAGGGGCGGCTGCGCGGCTCTGGGCGAAGGAAGCGAAATCCGTCTAGCAAGGCGCCTGCCGGGGGCTGTTCGCCTGAGCTCTGGCCGCGCCGCGCAGCCTGGCGGCACCCCCGCGCCCCGCCAGAGCAGCCCCCTGGCGCTGCCGCTGGCCGCTGCTGGCCGCCACTCGCTTACATAACACGGGCCTCGGCGAGCAGGGTGCTCCGCACGCGCGGCAAGGAGCACGAGCCGCTCCGCCCCCTCCTCGCCCCGACCTGTCCGTCGCGGCCCGGCCCCACCCCAACTGCGGCTCCTGGCCCGTGCCCGGGGGAGGGAGGAGCTGCCCGCACCCGGGGGGGATTTCAGGGACAGTCGGACACGTGTCTCGCCCTTCTGGAGAGACGGGAGGCAAGGGACTGAGCAATGCGGGAGGCAGGTGTCTCAGACAGCGCTGGATGCCTGGGCTGAGGTCCCTCCGTGCGTCTCTTCGGGAGGGCCCAGAAAGTCACAGCGACCTTTGCTCCAGTTTGCATTGGCTTTGCTTTTCCTCCGCGCCTTTGGCTCCCGGCCTCCCCTCCGCTCGCAATGGAATGGGGGCAGGATCTGAACAAAGGGGGAACTTGTATGGTGCTTGGAGGGCGGGGGCCGGGAGAGCTGCCACTTCCCCGATACTTGAAGAGAGCAGTTTACTAGATAAAACCTTTCTTGTACCCTAATCCTTTTATCAGTTTCTTAAGACTCACTTCTCTATACAACGAATGCAATATAGGCCAGAAAAAATCAAAACGTGTGTGTGACACTATGGCTGTCACATGGCAGGCAGTTAGAACAAGGCGCTAGGTCTACTCGAGCCTATGCTATGCAGTGAGCCTCCCACATTATTGTCTTTCATACCTGAACTCGTGTATCATTTATTTAAGAAAGCACTTTATCAGCCAGTGAGGCTGGCTCCAGAGGATGTCTTCACACTGCAGACTATCAGATGCAGAATTAAAATATCTTCATTCCTCCCCACATGCCTTTGATTCAGGAATGAATTCACTCCATCCTGGTTCCCCATCTCATTCATCTTCACCATTTGGTTGGAAATCACCTGCAGAAATAAAACATTTTCCTGACTCCCATGCTGCCACCAAATGCTAGGAAAAGCCCGTTAAAGGGTGGCTTAGCATACTTTGGGCTGTGCCTCACTGGGGCCTCTCTGCTTTATTTCAAGGTGAGGCTGTGAAGCCTCAACTGACAAGTCACAATTCAGTGATGATTCTGCCCCACATTTGTGAGGGCTGGATTGCCAATGCACTTCCAGCTCTTCAGCCAACTTCCTACGGGAATTGTTAAAGAGTCAGTAAATAAGCAGAAAGGTGAATCAGAGGACAAGGCAGACGTTTGGAATCGGAGAGGGCTGTAGTTTGCTAATTGCGATCCATTGCCGTCTCTTAAAAATAGACTCTAAGTACAGTGAGCCTACTGAGCATTTTGTCAGGAAGCTTGGCATCCTTGGCCAGTGGGTAGGAAATAAAACCTTGTGATTCCACAGCAGAGGGAAACAATCAATTCCATTCAAATTCTGCTTTCTTTGATGTTAATATTTAATTCCTAAAGCCTCCATCTTCATCCCCATCTCCTTTCAAATCTGGTCAGCAGTCCTGTCTCTCCTTCCTTGCATATATTTCTCTCTACTACTATTTATTATTTAACTTTCTATAAAGCACTTTCTGATACAGTTTGTACTGAGGAAGTTGCTCAAAATTAAGCTGTACCATATTTTAGAATATCTACAAAGATGTAGGACCCAGTTCTGCCAAGCACTTGAGAAGGTGTGTCACTTTGCAAACCTTAGTGGTCTCATTGAATTCACTTGTTAAAGAGGTGCTTAAGTGTTTTGTAGGATTGTGGTCATAAATATGTAGATATAATAATATTATAAATTGACACAAACTTCGGCTGTTAACAATAATTTAGCTGAGCCAGTGCTAACAATGGAAAGACCTTTTAAAAAATTCTCATAATAAAGCCAACACCTGAGGGATTGAGGTCTGATTTTAATCTCTATTACACCAGGAACTCCACTTGCTTCAGTGAAATGAAAACTTATTTGCCCCTGGAATTATAACTGGGAAACACAGTGCATAATTCAAAGCTCACTGAAACCCACAGGAACACTTCTACTGATTTAAGTGGTGGTTTGGACCAGCTCTATACCACATTAATTTGAAATTGCTATAGCATCTAGGAGCTCTAGTCATGGACCAGGACTCTGTTGTACTAGGCCCTGTACATTTTATTTCAAAATTACTTCAATTAGAGCATATAGTTGTTTAAAAGAATTGTAAAACATCAAAATGTGAAATCATTAAATATAATAAATAATGCAAAAGAAACAAGAAGTTGCTGTAATTTACGCCTATTTCAGACACAGTTGTCTCATTAAAAGCAGTGGGAGTTTGGACAATGATTAGGGGCCATCGTGTGATGAAGTGTTGCTCGACATTTAGGGCTCCATCCAAAGCCCATCAAAATCAGGGAATAGATATCCATGTAACTTACTGGCCTTTGGATCAGATTGTTAAAACCTAAGAGAAGAACGAGACTTTTACAAAATGGTTTATCGCTTTTTAAACACTTTTGTTAATTGCAGTTGGTTTAAAATGAACAATATTTATATAGTTTCCACACTATTTCCTGGTAAATATTATTACTTACTTCTGAAACAGTTGGAAACTTGCAGCTTTTCACAATCATTATTTTCCCAATGAATACCTATGGGGTTCACATTTTGCTGCCCTTACTCAGGCAAATAGTCCTTAGATATGCGAGCAGTCCGTTGCAGGATCAGGCTTTATACAGGGTCAGATCCTACCATGATTCTCCCTCTCCCAATATTCCTACTGATTTCACTGAGATTTTCAGATGTGGATTTATGACAGGATAATAGGTTTCTTGCTAGGAAATCCTGTAGCAATAAAATGTCAGCTCTCAGTGAAGAGCTAAACAATTCGACAATTGTTAGTAGCAGTGGCATTTCTGTATCACCTAGCTTCAGTCAGAGTCTTGTTGTTCTAGGCACTGTACAAACAAATAAATGGTGTAGCTTTTAAAACTGTGATCACAATCCATAAAAATATTACTATGTTTGTTAATAGAGTCCTGTTCTTTATACCAGGAACACAAGGTTTCTACCAAGTTTCACCAGACACTATAATAATGGACACTCTATATATTCATCTAATAAAAATATTATTATAATTGTTCCTGGAAAGCATCCTTATCAATCCCAGCAGTCAAACTAAGAATTACATGGGCATGAAAATAGGATGACTGTCGCACCATTAAACATGGTGGCTATGTCTACACTACGAGTTTTCTCTGCAAAAAATGTGTAAATGAGGGACTCATTTGCATGAGTTGCTATCTCATTTGCATATTTTCTGCTGATCCGTTTTTGCGCTGGTTCTAGATCCTTCGAAAAAAAGCATCTAGATTGCATCACACGGATCGAAAAAGCGATCTGCTCTTTCAAAAAAAAAAAGGCACCCAGAACCGCTTCTGGCAAGGCATGGGGGCGGCATTTACTTCCTGGTGCTGCTGCATGCCCTTTGAGAGACACGTGCTTAAAGGGATCCCCCTGGACAGCCATTGCTCTGCTCCTGCTTCTGGCTTGCCTACCTCCTAGAGGGAAAGCAAAGCTGCTGCAATGCTTGCTCTGGTTGCCCTGTTTTCTTGGACACCACGGCAATTTTTTTTCTGGTTGGTTTTCCTGCTTTTCATTGGGGGTTTTTTGGCCATGGAGCCAGAGCTACCCCTGGGCAGGCGATAGCCCCATGCTGCCATGCTACAGCTTTTGCTGCATCTTCATGACTCCGTCATGAAGCTTCTGCCCCACATGGACCCAGACCAGAACTATGAAACCTTTGTCTGAGATGCAGGAGATATGCCCTTGCCTCCAAACTTTTTTGGGGACAGGCGGATTTGGAGGCATGAGACGAGTTCAGACTGGTGGTGGGACCAGCTTGTCATGCAGCTCTGGGATGACGACCATTGGCTCCGCAACTTCTGGATGCAGAAGGCCACATTCCAGGAGCTGTGTACCTGTCTCACCCCTGCTCTGCAACACCAGGACACCCACCTGCAGCCCGCCATCCCCCTGCAGAAGTGAGTCACTATTGTCTTTTGGAAACTGGCCACCCCCGACAGCTACCAGTCAGTGGGACACCACTTTGGCATGGGGAAGTCTACCGTTACGCGGGGACTTTTTTTTAGAAAATAAAGGCGTCCAGGAAGAAGCCCTAGTGGACAGTCCATCCTTACATGCTCTCCTCAGCCAACCCTGTGCTGATGCGGGGGAGGAGGGAGTACTGACAAGAGGAGGGGTAGGAGCGGGAGGGTGGGTTCTCCTCCCAAGGGGTACCCTGTCTAACTCCCTGGTTTCTGTCTCTCCATTTGTCTCTTTCTGCAGGTGGTGAAGGCCATCAATGCGGAGCTGCTGATGGGCTTGGCTTCCCAAACTGCAGAGGAGCCCTCGATGGTACACACATCCCAATCCGCGCACCGCCCCATCAAGTAGACCAATTTATTAATCAAAAGGGCTACTTTTCTATGTTGCTGCAGGCCCTGGTCAATCACCGGGGACAGTTTATGGACATGGGTGGTCGGGGTGGGCACATGATGCCTACATCTTCCGCAACTCCAGGTTGCAGGCAGGAACGTTTTTCCCACAGCAGGACCTTGCGCTTGGGGCTGTACAGATGCCAGTGTGCATCATGGCCGATGTGGCCTGTCCCCTGATGCCGTGGCTCATGAAACCCTACACCGGCCACCTGGATGTGAGCAAGGAGCTTTAACATGCATCTTAGCCAGGCTTGCATGCAGGTGGAATACACGTTCAGCTGCTCGAAAGGGAGGTTTTGTTGCCTCCTCACACTGCTGGACATGGGCAAACGCAACATCCCCGAGATGGTGGCCGCATGTTGCGTGCTCCACAACCTGGTGGAGAGGAAAGGGGAAGCCTTCCTGCCAGGGTGGGGGACAGGTGCTGATGGCGAGGGGAGGCAATTTGAGCACCCCGGACAGCTGCCATCTGCCAGGCTCACTAGTCTGGTGTTCACATCCGAGAGGCCCTGA